TGACCTAACCTCAAATTAATAAAAAAAAACCCCATCTCACTGTTGACTGCGCAGCCTGAGGCGACTCCTTGCTCATCAGGAGTGTCAGGTCTTCCCTCCTTCCAGCAGATGGCACCGTTGGTCTTTACAGTATATGGACTTTCACCTTCTGCCTGCCTGATTCCTTTAGTCGTCATCAACACTTGTTTTAAACTCCTTGTAAACAAAACAGAGCATAGATATGAATGTGTTATTAAAAGACGAGAGAACTGACCTTCTTGGCTTTTTGTCTTTTTGTGTGGCCTTCACAAAATCTGACACATTATACAAAGACAATGAATGATTTGTCTAATGTGGTGAGATTTTGAGGATTTTTACAGCTGTTCATACCTGCGCAAAAGCCTTGAGCCATTTAAAAAATATAATTTATATTTCATTGTGATTTCTTTTCTTTTTTTTTCTTAAGTGGTCTTCAGCTGTAGTTCTCAAGGCATTCTCAAAATTGTTTGCTTTTTCATTGGACATTGAGGTTTGTTTGCTAGTCCACTTAACACCAACCTATGAACTATTCAAGTATAAAAAAGACACCTAACCCAAATTTTCTCTGCATAAGAAATGGGCAAAGAACCAATTTTAAGTTGCATCTTTAGGTACTTCTAAAATAAAGTGACTTCCAAGTGACTTCTTCAGTCTCAGCTGACTGCAGGTTTCCCCAGTAAACAGTGTCTTTGAGAACCTTTGACCTCACAGCCCGTTGTTCATTCAGTTGACTAGTTTTAGTCATTCTGCAAGTGTACTGTTTATAAGGTTGTAAATAACTTTATAAATAACTTTTATTACATTTAGTTATTTGTTTACAATATTTACATGTTTATTATATACGTATTTTACTGCTATTACTACTATTTTGGAAAAAAAATCAAAGTTGAAATTTTCAAATGTCTTTACAATGTTGGGTAATTACCACAAAATAATGCTAGAATGCCTGAAATAATGTGATTTATTATTATTTATGATCCTTCATAAATTGAGTCTGGAGGTGTAGACTTGTGTACTACATATGTACATGGTTTCTAGCCATGTACATAAAACACAATTAGTCATAGCAGCAGTGTCCGTCTCTGCTGTATTGATGGCAGAGGGCACGAGTTTGTGGAAGCAGCTATGTATTTTTGGATTAGGATTGATATTAAGTTTGTGATAATGATTCAGTTTGGTATGTAATTACGTTCAACAACAATGTATTTTTGACTAAATTATTATTTTTACGTCCTTTAATGAAATAACCCTAAAAAATGACAGTACCTTTTAAGGAAGGGAAATGTGCACAAAAGGCTGAGGTATGCCTTATTACACATAATCTGGAATGAAAATCAGTGGGAACATCAGAGTGATGAATCCAACTTTGAATTTTTTGTTTAAAATTCTCTTTAACACACAGAGGTAAGGAGAGGGGAACAGCAGTGTCTACAAATGTAAAACAGATGTCTATAGACGCTCATGAGTGGGGATCGTGTCATAATTGATGGAATTATGAGCACAAATATTGATCCACTTGAAAACATCTGATTGCCTTTAAATTTCGGCATGATAATGAACCCAAACTTACTGTCAATGCAATGAAGGCATAGCTGTGCTGAAAAAGACACAGTGGAACGCTATCAGTGACACACTGACCTCCCCAGAGTTCGGATCTCACCATCACTGCAGCAGTGTGCGATCGTCTTGGCAGTGAACAAAACAAACAGCAATCAAAGAAGAACTTCAGAACGTCTTACAAGAACCCTGGAGAACTACTGAAAGCAAGACCAAAGATTGTCTACGAGAGTTCAGGCTGTGCTGAAGAATAAAGACGGTCATGCTGCCTTTTCAAGCTGCATGCATGTTTGCTCATGTTTCAATAATCTGCTGCAAGCCTCACCAAATGATAAAGGAATGAGGTGCAACAACTTTGTTTAATTTTAATATTTTCTACATTTAAATATCTGTAAAGACTTACTGTTATACCTGACCTCCTGTGTACATATTAAAGGTGTTTAAACTAAAAATGTCAAGTTTACTCTTATAGACATGAAGGTTATGCATAAGGTCAATAAGGAAGCTCTGTATTCACTCATCTCTCTGCTCTCCCAGCTGTCCGACTGCTAGTCGAAACCTTTACATCACTTCCTACGTGTAAGACTCGATGCTTTATTGCTGTAGTCCAGTCGTCTTTCCTCCTACCTTCTTCAAGTCAATCTGAATACTTTAAATTGCACATCTCATTCTCTTGCCTTCAGTCTCTCTCATGTGTCCTTCAGCAGTGAAGGACCTTCCTTAAACTTCTTTTTCTTCTTCTTCTTCTTGTGATTTTAAAATGCTGCCAAATTATAACACTGGATTCATTATACTGCTGCAAAACCAAACATGCAAATGGTCCGTTTATTATGCCTTTAACCACTAGCGGGCATAATTTTATCAAACAATGTCACACTCTTTATGACGTTTCATTTTGTATAACTTTTTGAATAGCTGTCGAGGACGATTCTGTAAAAATAAATAAATGAATAGTTGCACAGCTGATAGCACTACCCACCACAAAAGCAAATCATTTGGGGGTTAAAAGTTGCAGGTTTTATTCATATAGCAATTATTTATATTACAAATGTATAATAGCAATGCCAAGTACCAAAATCAGGTGATTACAGTCGAATCAGTTGCAGAATTGAACTGAATAAAGAACTGAAGGATACCATCTTAATATCACACAAAGTTAAAACTAAACACTACTACTAAACAGACTAAAAGTCGATGTTTGCAGTGTAGATGCTATAAAAGAAATGAGCACTTTTCTGAAACAAGCTTCTTAAGTCAATTGCAAGCTCCTTTTTATTCTATTTTTGTGGACACAACACCTTTCAGGGTTGCAGGCCTTTCTTGAAATAGAACAATAGAAAGAAGAAGAAAAAAAGACCAGCAGGGCTCACCTGTTATATGCCTTTAAACAGGCAAATGTTCTCATGAAAACCAACGATGAGCAGCGGCTGAACAGTGAAATTCTATTTTGAGTTAAACAATGGCACCCTCTAGTGGGCGATACTAGGAAAAGCGTGTTTCTCCAGCTAAAATGATAAGGCAATACTTGAGTCAGAGTTGGATGTGTTCCTCTGTTGGATAACAAATGAGATGAAACGAATGTGTGGGTGTCCGTGAGCACCTCAATAATGTCTGTTCAGCATGCTCAATGTTCTTACTCCAGGTTTGCTGGTTTAGTAAAATACACAAAGAAACATGATTTAAACTGGAACTATTTAGACACTCCTGCTAAATGAGCTTTATCAACCCCCCCACCCGCCCAGGAAACAAAAACAAAAACAAATCACACACAAACTATATTGCTTAACAGATAAACTATAGATCTACAAAGAAAAAAGGAAAACATGAAACAAGCATTCTTTACTGCTACACATTGGACAAAAATCAGGACATATTCAAATTCATTGCAAGGACACAACTGCCTCGTGGTGTCCAGTGTCCAGAAAGTTGTCAGACAGTCACGTTTCTTCTCAATTCTAGAACATTCATACATGTGTATCACACCTGAAATATGTCCCGATGAGTTTGGAGAATTGGTCGAGAGCGAAGCTCAACATGCTAGCTATTCACCACAACTTATCGCACCAATGACATTAAAATTTTCCTTCTGTTTCCTCACTACTCGGCTGCATCTTCTCCCTCAGTGTTAGATCTGGGAAAGAGTACGCTGGTTTCACTTAAAGAGCTTTATGAAAAGGGTAAACAATTTAAGTGAAAAAGCTTCATAAATTGTTACTAATTACTAGTTAACCCCCCATAATTTACAAGTTCCTGCATTTCATTTTTATAGACATTAGCATCAGTGACTTCTAACATCTGCCTTCAAACTTCTGGTTGATATGGTCAGTTGTGGAAATTCAGAGGTGAACGTTCCCCAACATTTAACTCAGTGTGAAGAGTCTGAAGTCTGAAGAGTGTGGGGTCATTTCTTTTTAAAGAAACCATGGTGGATTTCAGTCCTGTAGCCACTAACTTTACTGGTTCCATTGTTTGACCCAGTAGTTCTGTTGTGCTTTAATGGTGCCACATTTTGATTCTAGTAGAATTTGTTTTGTTTTATGTCAATAAAACCATACAAACAAACAAAAAATTGATAATTGTGTTTGAAAAACAGAAACAAAACAACGTGGTTCCACATTTCTATTGGAAAGAAGTAATATCCACATATTGTTTTAGTTTGTTGAAATCTGAAATATCTGCTGATAAACTATAACGTGGTGGTAAAAGAGAAAAAGAAATTCTTTAAAGCCAGTCTGGGAATTCTTATTTGAACCAGTCATTTGATGAAGTGTTTCTTTGTGCCCATTATCATAGTGCAAAAGTTCAACTATAATTAAATGCATTCAATGCAACACATGAAGGAAAAAAGAGAGAAAACTTTTCATGGATATTTGATCACCGGGACCTGAAATGATATTAATTTGAAAAACTATTTATTGCACTACTAGTATCACCACTCAGTGGGTCTGGTTTGTTAAAGCATTGAAGTAAATATGCTATATGACACATTTACGCTGTCACAGCTCGTGTTCTATCCAGTTTCTGCTTGGAGCCTGAGTTAAAGACACATTGCTGTGTAGATACAGTCCATGTGTGTGTCTGAGCTGAACTGTAGTCCAGGTGATCCAGTGGTGTTTATAAGGTGATGAGGCAGGGTTTCGACTAAAAACAGAGACTAGACTAATGGACTAAACAGTTGTTCAAATCCCTGCAAACACTTTTTGTCCTGCTATCAGCAGCATGTGTTTGACAATCACCAAAGCTGAAAACAGACTGAAAGTGCCTCAAGATACAGATCTACCAGAGATCCTTGGCTGGATTTTGTGTTGTTTTCCTTTCCTTCTTGTTGACTGATTGGACCGTTTGAACAGGGTATGTATTTTTTTCTCTCATAAATGCGTCTGCGTTAGTCTTTACATGTTTGTGAATCTTCATCTGTGTAATGTTCACTTCTCAGCCTTCTGGTTCTCATCCCTGGCAGGGCCACTCCCAGGAAACATCTCTGGGTTTTCCGCCAGTGTGGCTCTCACTCTTTTCTTCTCCTTAAACCTCCCAGAATGTGACACTTTGACGTGACGCCCCTTACTGGCTGTCGTCTTGTCCACGATCTTCCCCAGTCGGGCTTCCAGCTGGGCATCTTCTGTTTGGGCAGCAGCTCCTGAGGCTGCACTTGAACGATGCTGACTGCTGGGTGAGTTGGACACAAATTCTGGAGAGATTTCATACAAAACCTTTGGTTGGGATTTTTTTCTCCTCATAAAAGTGAGCTTCCACCAGCCTGTCGATGACTCTGCCATGATGAATAAAATGTGGGGTGGAATAAACCTTAAGAGAAGAAAAAAAATTAATTAGGATGGCTATAAGAAAACTAGAGACTCGTTAATTTGTTATAAATAATTGTATTTAATAAGAATAATGTGCATGTGTGGGTAATAATTTCTGTTTATATGTGTGTTTGACTGTGTATCTAAACACTTTCTGCCCATGGCATTGTTAATATTTCAGTGTAATCCAATAGTTTCCACATTTCGTGGATACGGACATACTCATATTACTATATGTGCGTGTGCCTGCATGTCTGTGTAAAAAAAGCTGAATAAGAAGGCAAACATATAGGAAGTCATTGTGATTAATCCCCAGTGGGTGTGGGTGGGGTGTGTGCATGTCTGATGTCAAATGATATGTTACAGCTTTATCGTGTTCCTGGCTGTTTGTTCAGTGTGATTTTTGGAGTCATGATGAGCTGACAAACGTGACATGTGCGCTGTAAACTTCATACATACAGTGTGATTAATCCATGAATTATGGCACTAGTAGATTAAACAGTAACAATCACAATAATATTAATAATAACAGTAATACTAAACAGAGTGCAGGTCTATAGTAAATCTTACTATACTTTACTGTTAGTAAATAACCATTCTGGCCCAGATTGAAATATCTACCTATAATAATGACTGAATGGATTTGCTGTTAAAGTTACAATTGATATACTTAAGGATGGGAATTGAGAACCAGTTCTTATAGAGCTTTGGTTCCCAGCAGTTCAGTTCCTTGGAATTGTTAGTCTGCCTGCTTATCAGATCTACTTGCACTTTGCGCTGCAATCAGCTGATTTCAGTTCAGTCTCTCAGTCTACAGAGTGGATTTGGACATTGGACATTTTATTTTTATTGCACAGAAACACGAGTTACAGGGTGATCTGTCCATAACAGAAAACTCTGGCTCTTTGCAAAGATCTGCACCACACAGCATGCTAACGCTAGCCAAGAACCCAGAGTGATATTAAAAGTGACCAACCCCAGCCTAGCAGCCATGCACTGGACTTCAACAGCTAACAAACCGATAACCAGTCAGGTAGCAGCCTCCATTTCTATCTGTTCAAGTTTCTGCAGTAGAATCACCGGAAGTCTCAGTGGGCTTGTTTTCATCTGTGTTTTGTGTCGTCCACATTGTGTTAATACCCAAATACTAAGATCATATGTGTGTCCTCATTAGGGAAGAAATAACCCCAACACTGATCCCGGTAAACCTCCAACATGCACGAACATTTTTATAACGTATCTTTGAATCTGATTGGCAACTGTATCTAATAGTTGTTTGATAGATGTTACCTCCACTAACTGTACTCGCTGAGGTGAACCCCTTGACCACTTGTGTGTTTTTAGTGCAATAATCCCTATATGGGCCTGTGTGTTGCACCCATACAGTTTATTAATGTATCTTTTTAACTAAACTTGGTTGAAAATATGGTCACTTCATATTTCAAAAAGAAAACTAACAAGTTAATTTAATTACTGTACATTATTGGGTAATACAGTAATATAATGCATTACTGTATAACAATTGTGTTGATAGCTGCATTACAAAGCTTTTCAATTCTTTGCATGATGAAGGGTTTAACGAAAAACACAACAAGAGCTCTCTATAAGCATCTACATACATACATGCTAACAGAAAGCTAACAGAAAGCTAACAGAAAGCTAGTCAGGAGCTCAGAGGGATGACAAAGCTAAGTGACCCCAGGCGAGCAGGATAGCCAACTCTCAATACTTTAAAAGATTCTTCTTCCTTTGTGTGTGTGTGTAAAAAAACCAGTGTGACAGCAAGCTTGTTGCATTGTCGTCTCTATTTCTACCTGCTCATGTTTTTACAGTATAATTGCAGTTGCAGTCACTTTGGTTGGTTTGCAGCTTGCTGTGCATTGTCAGCCTTGTGTTTATACTTAATAACTAGATGGAGGAATTGAACTTGCTGTGAAGTTTGACCATCCTGCTGTGAAGCCAACAGTGCTGCCCTGCAATAAACCTGACATGGCATTTTCTTATAATTTAATCTTTACTGTTATACCTGCTGAACATTAGCATGCTAATACTCTCATGTGTAACTTTAGACAGAGAGAAGCTAACTCCTTCCCATGGCACTCAGTGTTTATGCAAAGCTAAGCTAATTTTCTTTTTATCTGTGACTTTATTCTGTGTTTTGCATACAGATTTGAGATTGGTACAGATCATTTATCCAATTCTCAGCAAAGCAAGAAATAAATCCAAACTATTCTTTGGCTTCAGTAGACTCTGATTAAAACTATGCAACAATATGTGGACAGTACAGGCGATATAGTGTTAAAGTCTCCTACATGATCAAATGGTTCCAGTGAGCATAATGATGGGCGTACTGGGCGGGGCAAAATACTATTAAATTTAATATAGGTAAAAGGGGAAAAACAGGAAATCACCCAGCTTGATTCACATTGAGGCCCCTTTTAAAAAAAATAATGTTCTATTATTTCGGCTTTAAAATGACCTATCAACTAAAGATCACCTAACTCTCCCAGCTGGCATGCAAACTGGCTGCAGGCCAGCTCCTGATCGCCTTGTGGCCCCAGGCAAGTTTTTCTCTCAGCTGAGCAAATAGAAACTGACCACATTGTTTTATTTTGTGTTCCGTTTCTTTTCTACTCGCTGTCACACATGCCCTCTCTCTGTTTCAGGAGCATATGATACGCTCAGCTAACTGACTGTTGTGGAGCTTCTTTTGTCTCTTTTGATGTAGGTTCTATTCAGCTTTGAAGTGATAGCGAGCATCAACGTCTGAACCACCGTCTTTGAACACCTTTTAACTGCGGCAGCCAATTTCCTGCTTGTTGTTTAAATTTAAATCTTCTCTCTTTTTTTTGTCGGCTTAAACACGTATTTGTCACACAATTCCTCGATGCGTCCTCACAACCAGTAGCTCCAAATTTAGGTTATTCTTCTCATCAGGATAAATTGCAGTAAGCTTGGTGAGCCTCTGACTTTTGCTCAGATCACATCCCTAATTATTCACATATTTTAAAACTGTCATCTGTAATTTATGCTAAATAACAAATACTGAGATGCTGAAAGAGGATGGTAAGCGTGGTAATGTTAAATTCAAGGCTCTTCCATTTATCTGCATTTGTGGCAATTCTAGAGTCTGTTGGGGCCCTAGGCAAAAAGTAACAGGGGCCCCTCCAAGAATTTATCACCATTGTCTGATGAATGCTGGTCAGAGGGGCCAGCGTTGGTTGTTTGATAATCATCGGGTCACAGCCTGCAGTGGTGGACACACTGAGAGGTTTAGTTTTGTTAAATCAGTCAGGTGGGCCCTGATCAGGTCTCTCCAACTGTAAGCTTCACACAGCCACTGCTGCAGTTTAAAGTTTGTCTGCCTGCTTATTTTCATGCAGCACCTCTGTCTTTAAGGAATAACTGGCTGAATAAATCTTGACCTGAAAATCCACTGGTCCTGAAAAAATGGGGGTAATTTATCAAGCTAGCTGATGAGATTAGTGAACTGATGTCACAGATGCACATTGTTAACCAATAAATGTTGCTGACTAAGATAATGGCGGCCAAAGTCCAACTTGAGGCCTTAAAACAGGAGTCCAAAGACCCATGATTGTGAGGATTCTCTGCCCTGTAATGTACACACAAAGTAGAGATTCATGCATTTAAAAGCAACTTCATGGCACCAAATGGTCAAAGTCCACAAAGGAACCTTGAGGTAAAACAGTTCATCTAGAAGGGATCCTCTGCCAAGCTCAATGCTGTGAGTTTCAAATTGAAAGAAAAGGAAAATTAAGATTGAATGGGTTCTTCCTTTACTGATGCTCCACAACGCTCTATTCAGTTTGGCTTGGTGTCTGTTGTGTTGGCTGTTGTGTTGTAGGAAGAGCAACTGTCCTGTTAAATAACAAAATCATACATTTTTAGAAGATTTTTTGAACAGATTGGATCACTACTGTAACTATCACTACTGTCACTGCAGATATGATGGTGCTCTGGGTGTAGTCTCTGCATTAATAGCCATAATGTTTACGATATGTGAGTGTGTGTGCGAGAGAGTATTGTACCTGGCAGGTAGTAGACCAGAGTAGTGCTGTCAGATGATCACACAAAGCAGACATTAAAATGCATGTGCTTACAGCCACACTGTAGTTTAACAGCTCTAAGGAGCACATCTCTACAATCCAAGAACGCAAATGTTTTGTACAATCAATGAGCAGATTTATAGATGCACACATGTTATATATGTCCAGTAAACGTTGGCAAATTCAATGACAACTGGACTTTATATGTGTGGATGAAATTGATAGCCAGCCTGAAAGGCAGACGTACCTAAGAAACCAAAAACCTACAGATCACTGATGAATGTAACGCTTTTTTTAATGTATTGAATTAACCCAACTGGAACTTTTAATAGTCAAAGATTGAATGCAGGGTGAGAAAATGTCTGAAGCTCAGAAACATTTCCTGATTAATGCATAAATGCTTACTAACAAAAAACGATGTTCCTGCAATTATCAGTGTTAAATAGCTTTGGGATAGCAGGGGAAAAACAAATGCGTGGTCTGAGCTCACACTCTTCTGCCTGTGGAAAACCTACAATGCCAACGTTTTCTCACATTGTTTGTGGGTTGTTTGTGTAAAAGTTAAGTCAAAACGTATTTTGGCAGTGTTGAGAAAATGACAATATCTGATCATTAAGTGAGAATCTGATACGGTGCTAATTTAAATAAAAAATTAAGCATTAACAATGTAGCCAAAGTAGCAGAAAATAAATAAAAGCAGTGTTTCAGCAGTCCAGTGACTCTGCTCGCTCACATTTTAACATGTCAGCTTTCTACTGATGCAGAAAGGAAAGAAGTAGTTTATTAAGATGCAGCTAGTTAAAAGTAAAGTAAAAAGTAAAAATAATTTTATTCAGTGGTTCCTAATCAAATGTACTGACTGGACCTTGCTTGGAATTAGATGAAAAAAAGAAAAAAATATTTGAAGAAAAATCTTTTTCTACTTCTTTTTTGTTTTCTAATCTTTATCCTGTTTGTCAAACATTAACTACTGTAATGACATTTGATAAAATGTATTACTTTAACAACGCAAGGACTTTAGAGCTGCTAACACCCACATGACAAACGGCCACTTCTATTTTTTAAGTCTTCAGAAGGCAACGCGTACATGGCAACAATGCGCTGCAGCTGTCATTTTTTCAAATCTCAGTTTAGATATTTTATTAAAGGCAGAGATGATTCTGGACTCACCTGCTGTAGTTGTGTTTAGCAAGTTTCCCAATCACTTTCCAGCCTCTTTACTCCAGAATTTAGGCTTCCAGGCACAAAAGTTCAGCGTTCACTGTCCTGCTGACCTTTGTTTCACCGCTCTCTCAGACAGAAAGTGGGTCTGAGTTTACAAGGCCCAAGTTAATCATAAGCTGTCTTGGCAATCTGGCAGAAACATGGAATCTAATGTTTCACTTGACAGTTTTCAATCCTCGTTTCTTCATACAAGAGTGTCCGCAATCCATTTTGTTCCCGCACAACTACCCTAAGAAAGATTACACCTGCATCAGGAGGCCGTGTGGTTAAATGAGGACGTCTGACATCATCCACCCCGCTGAAGGTCTCTCTAAAAGGCTCCAACTCACAGACGATACAAGAACGAGAGCTAACTCACTCGTTCAGTCATGTCTTTGTGTTCATCTCTGTATTTCCTCCTTTTTTTCTGTTCACTGCTCTGTCTGTCTCTTCTCAGGTGGTGCATTACAGGTGCTGCAGTTGGCCCCTCCCACTGACACACACAGACTGCACTGTGTGTGTACAATATTAACCACATTTCACTTCCTGACCTTAAACTAACCTTCACTTTATCTCAGCCTACATCTTTCTCTTCAGGTTTCATAGAAAACTTTAAAACTGCCAAAGTATGTCAGCAAATAATGATCCAAATTTACTGATAACTTTCATGCAAAACATATATTTTGATTACCGTAGTCTAGCAATCAGTGTAATTATTATTTATTAACAATAATACCTATAATGTCAAACTGAAAGCTAGACTGACTCAAACATAACAAAGCTGGCTATTCATACTGTACCTTTGTTTCTCACAACATATGCAGAAGTCATAGTAGCTTTGGATCCCTGTAGTTAGTACTTGGTTGCTATAATGTTTAGTTTGTTGAGCTGTTCCTAGACAGTTGATAGTTTTATTCACATGGTCAGTAGGAACTGCTGTTAAATGAGTTCCCAAGGTTCATTGTAGTATTTACTCCTTCACACTAGCTTTGAGCCAATGGACATTCTGACATAATGTGACAGACCAATGCTACATTATATTTCTGTAATCAACCAGATGACAGTATTTTGTAACCTGTACTTTGAGCAAAATCTAAGATATTGCAGACGCCTCTGCATGGGTGTCATATCTGTACACCATAATCAGTCTGTATCAGATACATATATGTTAATTATCAACATTTCCTTATTACTCTGACTGGAAATTCAGCACCATTTATGTGATCATTCTGTGCAAGTTTAATGTTATCTTTATTTCACACAAACTGATACCGGTTTTTTTAAAATGTAGAATTATGAGCAAATAAATCTCAAAGCCAGACCTCTGTCTCGCATTTATGACTTGGTTTCTTCAAGATAACGCATTCACATTCTTTCTCCAGCAAGGTGTTTACTGCCTAGACTAAAGTTCAGTGTGTAGTTTGGAACTGTGCCTTTTACAACCCTGATGGAGCTGAACCATCCCCTGAGGATTAATAATGAAGTAAATGAAAATGAAAAGAAAGAGGAGGAACTTGGAAATCACTCGATGTCACAAGTGTGCAGATAGTTGTCCTTGAAACGCTTGCAATTCTCCCTCAATGTTGGATGGAGAAGAATGCAGTGCAAAACTAAAAGAAAATATATGACATCCGCTTCTTTTGATTTTGGTGCAGTAGTTTTGGAGCCAGTGTGCTCACTATTCTCAGTGAGCCCCTCAAGTATTTCCCAGGAGGACTGTGGAGGCCACAGAGTCAAAGGACAGAGTACTACACATAAAAGACACAGGTGCTCTCCTAAAGGCTTTTGATTATCTCCAAATACAGAAGCAAGGGTAGGGTTATGGTAAGTATCATCATCACCTATACTGAAACATAAAGCCAGAATCAACCTGGCAACAACTCCAATCCGGCCCACTGGATGGTTTTTGGAAATGAGAAGGAAGGAATCAATTTTGGACCTTCTACTAGGTGATCTAAAGTAAAAACAAAACAAGAAAAGAACCAAATTAACAAAAGCTTTCTGTTTTACAATTACAGCACAGTCTGAGGAATGAGCTACCAGAACTTTTTCTGTAATCTTATAAATTAAATTCTAACAATTTAAGCCAAAAGAGTTAGACTGAAAGATTTCTTTTATTTTACGACAAGCAACATTTCTTTATCATTTCAAAAAACAAAAACTGAGACGTAATGTTGAAATTGCACTTCTTTTTCTTATATAGTGAGGATTTAGTTAAACTTCTGTACAACAATAGAAAGGAGAATTTCACTGGTCTGCTCCACTTAAGATCAAACTGGGCTGTATGCGTTTACCTCTGAACACAGGTCAGGTCACTGGCAAACCACTTAGGGGTAATGTTATGGTTAGATTGCACTTTAGCCACATAATAAACAAGCATATTATCAGAAACTGGAAGATGTTACCTTTCAAGTTAAATCTTTTACATGCATCTTGGCCTAATAGTTATTTTTTAAATAAAAAAATAGATGTGGATCCAACCTTAACCATACACTATCTCTTAACATGCACCAGGTGGCTTGGTACCTGTGTAGAGGTAGTAGGTTAGATTCTGTGTTTGTTTAATGTGTGGTTACAATGCAACCTAACCTTGCCCCTAAGCGGTTCGCCTGTCAGCTGGTGAATTTTAAGATGTCAGCTGAAGTCATTATAATGTTCAGTGGGTAACAATGGAGCAAATGAACGTAGTATTTTGTTCTCACAAAATCTTCAGGAAACAAATGTTGGGGAAAGAAAGTGAACTTGCTAACAACAGAAGAAATGTTTACGTGGTTATCTTTCATAGTCATTGAAACTGCATATTTCTTTGTTGACTAGTTCAGTACATGAAAAAATCTACACAGTTAACACAAGGTTTTCTGTTGTTACCTTCTACTCTAGTAGGAGTTTCTTTGTTTTACTTGTTTGAGACTTTATGGAAGTACAATACTCAAGTACCCGTCACACGCACACTTGTCTCTATTGGACACGTAGCTGTTGAACATGGTGACAGAAAACTGTATCTTCTCTGTCAGCACTGACTCATGCAAATCAAGAACAATAGCAGCCCTGTGAGCCTAATCAGCATGTCCTAATCTCTTTATCCAGGCTATGGTGGTATAGTTAACAGTAGATGCATCGATATGAAAAAATAGTGATATGTACATGTTAAAACACCTGTTATAATGCAGCCTTTAGCAGAAGGTAAGTATTCTCTAAATGCATTTTAAAATAGATCACATGGTGGAAACTAAAGCTGTCAGATCTTTATTAAACTAAAGCAGAATTTCTCTGACATGCTGACACATTAAGATTAAACAGCTTTAATGAAGCATGGCTGACCTTCTTTTCTGACTTTATTATTGTTATAAAAATGTGGCGCTGCTTTTTAAGTTAGCTGTATATAATAAAAATCATCCCAGAACACATGCGGTATGTTCTAGATGTGCAATAAGGATGTGCAATTTATTCATAGGTGACACAGGCTTTTAGAATATAATTCTATATTTATATAGAATTATATATTATTACACACTATCCACCCAGCATCCATCCTGTCAAAGTAGGTAAAAGCCCCAAGGTCCCCTCCCACCAAGATGACTGGTTGTCCATTCTTATAGTATAATGAATGTAAAAATAAGTTGCAAAACGTCAGTATAAGAAGTAATGAGTAAAAATGCACATAAATTACATTGCTGTGGTAATTTATCCTGTAGACTAACCTGCTCCGGGGGAGGTCAGGTTCCATATTAGAGATATGAAATCACCAACTACTGACCAACCTCCTCAATCCCCCAGAAAATAGCATCACCATTCCTGGTTGTTCTCTCTCAAACACCCAGGCCTATGGTAGAGGGCCTGCTTGAGGAAGACATACATACCACTCCCTGAGGTTTGTGTTCCTGCCAAAAGTGTTGACTCACCCAAGCAAATTCATTTCATTGAATTCACGTGTTCCAATCACTTCCATGATTGTATAAAATCAAGCACCAAAAAGACTCAGGAGCTCGGTGAATTCCAGTTTAGTACCAAATTCAAATTCAAATTTTATTTGTCACACACACACAACCATACACAGTATGACATGGGGGTGAAATGCTTGTAGCTGTACAATGCCCAACCATTAAATGACAGAAAAAAAA